CCTGCCTAGAATCCCCCAGTGAGGGGCTGGGGGCGTGGCTCAGTGGTATAGTGCTTGCTTGGCATGTGAGATGTTTAGGTTTGAGTTCTAGTATCATAAAGAGACACTAAAGCTGCTACAAAGATTCAATGATGCCACGTGGTAGGATAAAGTGGTATGAGGGGGGAAGAAAAGCAGCAGAGAAGGGGGACTATCTTACGACCCTTTCCTTCCTCCTGCACAGGGAGCAGAGGGCCCCAGCAGTGTACGTTTCCTAAAGACATCAGAAAACCGAGCTGAGCTCCGGGGCCTGAAGCGGGGAGCCAGCTACCTGGTCCAGGTTCGCGCACGGTCCGAGGCTGGCTACGGACCCTTTGGCCAGGAGCATCACAGTCAGACTCAGCTGGATGGTGAGTTTGGGGTTTCCAGTGGAATTTGGGAGGGTTGGCCCCCACCAAACATGGCTTGCTTTAGTATCGGCAGCCATCTACCTTGCTTTTATCCTTCAATGATAAGCCCAAGCCATCAAAGACAGCATAGAACCTAGAATAGAGAAACTAAATCCGTGCTTTGGCTGTGAAGCCTGCTGGGCTCTTCATCCTTAGCAGAAGTTGAGCCACTAGCTCCTATTCCTTCCTCCTGTAAGATGAGAAAAATCATCCACCCTCTGTCACAGAGTTCTGAAGTAAAGTGAGGTAGCCCACGCTTTTTTTGTTTTCGTTTGGTTTTTCGAGACAGAGTTTCTCTGTGTAGCCCTGGCTGTTCTGGAACTTGCTCTGTAGATCAGGCTGGCCCCCAAATCACAGAGATCTACCTACCTTCTGCCTCTCAAGTGCTGGAATTCAAAGCACACTTCAGCACTGCCCGGCTTAACTCCATAATTTTTGAAAAGCTCTGTGATTTTTGAGACAGGGCCTTACTATGTAGCCACGGTGATGTTCTGGAATTTGCAAGGCTGGACTCAGAGTTGCAGCAACCCTCCTGCCTCTGCCTCCCAAGAGTACAGGAGTATCCCACCACACTTGGCCTGTCTCTCTCTCTCTCTCTCTCTCTCTCTCTCTCTCTCTCTCTCTCTCTCTCTCTCTCTCTCTTCCTCTCTCTCTCTCTCTGTTTCTTAATCTTCTCTTTTCTTCCATTACTTTTCTTTTTCATATCTTTTATGCTTTTTTAAGGATTTTAGTTTATGCATATGATTGTTTTGCCTGCATGTGTGTCTGTGCCCTGTGCAGACGGAGTGCCCGCGAAGGCCAGAAGTGGATCTTGGAACTGGAGTATTTGAGCTTCCCCCCTGTGGATGCTGGGAAGGGAACCCAGGTGCCCTGGAAGAGGCGCTAGCTGATGAACTAGAGATAGGATCTCATTGTGTGACACAGGCTGGGCTTTAACTTGGCAATCTTCCTGCCTCAGCCTCTTAAATGCTGTGGTTACAGACACAGGCCATCACCTTTGTCTTATTTTTCTCAGTGCTGATGGACCTTGTGTATGCTAGTCCAGCACTCTACCACTGAGCTATATCCCTGCCTTTATTTTTATTTTGAGATAGGGTTTTGCTAAGTTGTCTATGCTGAGGCAGAACCTGCTATTGTAGCCCAGGCTGGTATTGAACTCTCTGTCCTCCTGCCTCAGCCTCCTGAACAGGATTACAGGTGTATTCTATCACCTTCGGACTCTCACTCAAATAAGGTTTTCTTTGTTAAAGACGCCAAAACATATCATAGAACAAAATCAAAATGTCCCTTGGAGGGGCGCTGGCTCAGCTAATAAAGTGTTTGTCCAGCAAGCATGTGGGCTTAAGATAGGATCTGTGGCACACACATAAAAGTTGTGTGTGAGCACCTCCAAGTGTGTATCCACACACATACACACACCAACATACAAAATTCCTCCAACTTCACTCACTATATCAAAGTGCGGGCGCTGACTCCATTGTCCTCAACCTGAGCTCATTCGTCGCTCGGCTCGCACTGGGCTGAGATTCGAGTCGGCTCAGTAGACCTCAGATCGTTGCTTGCCGGTGGAGTTAGGGGGAATCAGGAGCTCTCATCTTTACCTGACCTCTTCTCCTCCAGAGAGCGAGAGCTGGCGGGAGCAGCTGGCCCTGATTGCAGGCACTGCAGTTGTGGGCGTGGTCCTGGTCCTGGTGGTCGTTGTCATTGCAGTTCTCTGCCTCAGGTAAAGACTCTGGCCTGCAGACTCCCTCGGATAGCCACCTGCTCACACACCCTAGGGCAGTGGTTCTCAACCTGCCCAATGATGCAACCCTTTAATACAGTTCCTCCTGTTGTGCTGACACCCAACCATTAACTACTTTCGTTGCTTCTTTTATAAGTGTAATTTTGCTACTGTTATGAATCGTGGTGTAAATGTCTGATATCCAGAATATCTGATATAAGATCCCCGAGAAAGGGTCGTTTGACCCCCACCCCTCAGGGTCTCGACCCACAGGTTGAGAACCACCGTCCTACAGCAAATCTTCCTGTCTTTCCCACTGGTCAGTTCTCAATGGAAATTTTTCTGGCCCCCGACTCCTTCATTCTCTGTGGGCATAGAGACATATGACTCAGTTTACTTTTTTATTTCTTTTCTCACGGCTACAGGAAGCAGAGCAATGGAAGGGAAGTTGAATACTCGGATAAACATGGGCAGTATCTCATTGGGCACGGTATGTGGGACACAGACAGGGGGAAAGGAGCTGTGGGCTAACGGGACGCCTTGGTCCAGAGGAATTTACTTCCTGGTTGATGGGCTCCTGTGTGACTCTTTAGGTACCAAGGTCTACATTGATCCCTTTACTTATGAAGACCCTAATGAGGCAGTGAGGGAATTTGCCAAAGAGATCGATGTCTCCTATGTCAAGATTGAAGAGGTAATTGGTGCAGGTAAGAGGAACAAGCCGGAGAGTTTTGGAGGTGGCTCAGTCAGTAGAGCATCTGCCGTACAAACGTGAGGAACTGAGTTCAATCCCCAGACCCATGTGGAAAAGCTGAGGACCGCAGTACATGCCTGTAATCCCAGCACTGGGGCGGGGGTTGGGGCCAGTGTGGGGGGGCCTGAAGGGACACGCAGAGGGTCTGTGGTCCTCATTGGTTAGCCCGTCAGCCTAGCCAGACTGATGAGATCTGGGTTCAGTGAGAAACCCTCTCTCGAAAAGTCAGTGTATTGCTGGATGTGGTGGCCACATCTTTAATTCCAGCACTCAGGAGAAGAGGCAGGGCACTCTTAGTTTGAGGCTAACCTGGTCTACATAGCAAGTTCCAGGCTGGCCAAGGGCTACAGGATGGCTCAGAGGATAAAGGTGACTGCAGCCAAGGCTGATGACCTGTGAGGGACCCACATGCCAGGAGGAGAGAACTAATTACTGAAAATTGTCCTCCGAACGTCACATGTTCATTCTCCCTGCATAACCATTAAATATAATTATGAAAGTAAGAAAAAAAGTGAAAGAAAACACCAGATGTTGACGTGTGGCCGCTATCACATTCATACACACATCCACAGGAACATGTACATACAATGTATATGTTCACGTGTTCAATATGCGTGTATATGCACACGGACACACACACAAGTGCATGCACACGCACCACAAAAGTAGAAGCCTGGGCGGTGGGAAGAAAACAAATGGGTCGTAACAGGAGAAAGACTGACCCTCTGCATTGTGACCGAAGGTGAGTTCGGTGAAGTTTGCCGGGGTCGGCTGAAGGCACCAGGGAAAAAGGAGAGCTGTGTGGCCATCAAGACCCTCAAGGGTGGCTACACGGAGCGCCAGAGGCGTGAGTTCCTGAGCGAAGCCTCCATCATGGGTCAGTTTGAGCATCCCAACATCATCCGCCTTGAGGGTGTGGTCACCAACAGCGTGCCGGTCATGATCCTCACGGAATTCATGGAGAACGGAGCCCTGGACTCCTTCCTCCGGGTGAGCCACCCCCCACCCCACCCCCACCTTCACAACCACAGTATATTCCTGGGGGTGAGGAAGCAGGGAGAGCTGGGCTTAGAAAACAGAGTAAAGCAGAATTCATGCCTGCAATCCTAGTATTGCAGAGGCAGGAAGCTTGTGAGTTTACGTCAGCCTAGGGATACAAAGCCAGTTCTAGGCCAGCTTAGACTGTATTGCATAGCAAGACTCTACCTTCAGAAAGGAAAAAAAAAAAAGCTAGTTTCAGACATGGAAAAAAATCAAACCAGATCTTGAACAGTGACTGAATTATTTGATTGATTTATTGTTGTACATTACAGGAGAGTCAAACCAGGGTCTCATATATAGGCTCCACAACCTCTCTATTGCAGAGCCACGCCCCCAGCCCTTCCCTGGGGGATTCTAAGCAGGAGCTCTACCACTGAGCCACGCCCCCAGCCCCTCACTGGGGGATTCTAGGCAGGGGCTCTACCACGCCCCCAGCCCCTCACTGGGGGATTCTAGGCAGGGGCTCTACCATTGAGCCACGCCCCCAGCCCCTCACTGAGGGATTCTAGACAGCCTTCTACTATCTGAACTGCATTCCCACCCTACCTTTCTGTTTATTCGTCATTCTGAGTGTCTATCTACATTGGCTTTCTATTCTAGGTCCTGAATATGCTTTCCCTTATATCTCGATTTAACTTTCTCTTCTGCAGTCTTTTCTCAAACGCATCTTCCTTACTCTGCAACAGGACCTTCACAACACAGACTCCTGTGTCAGTGTTGAGGGGTCACACTGCCCTCTATGGATCTGCCTCAGCATCCACAGGAGCCTGGGTGGGTCTCCTCGCTGGGACCTTTGCAGTGTGGAGCACAGCTCCCCTGTGTGATCCAGCTACAGACGTCTAATTTCCAATTTATCAGGACATGGGAGAAAGAGAGTTGGTTACAGGAAATACAGGAAAGCAAGCTAAATGACCCTATAGGGAAGAAGCCATGGATCCGAGGGACAAATGTGACAGTTTTTCAGTTTGTTAGTCTCTCTGAAGGACTTTCTAGGATTTAGGGAGATACACGCAAATAACCAGTATGCTGCCTGTCTACTTGGGAGAGTGAGGCACAGGATCGATCACAAGTTCATGGCCAGCCTGGGCAAGTTAAAGAGAATTTGTCTCAAAACAATTGGGGTGGGGAAAGGACCATGATGTAGTTTCATGGTAGATTGCCTATACAGAATCCCGCAGTGAGGGGTTGGGGTGAGTGAGTGGGCTCAGTGGGATAGTGCTTGTGAGGTTTTAGGTTCAGTTGTCATCACTGAAAAAAGAATGCAGATTTTGGATGCAGCCTCCTTGTCCTTCCCTCCAGAGATGTAGCGGGTGGGTCCCGGCATCCTGAGTTAACCCTGATGGGTTCCGTTTAGTTTTGTTATTCTGGTTGATGTTGCTGTGAGGGCAAAATGAAAACACAGCAAGGTCAGGGAGGCACCAGACCTCTGTTTCCTACAGTTCCCTTGTGTTCACACACAGTTAATCTGAGGCCTTTTCCCCGTTGACAGGCAGCTCAGAGTACACGCCTACCTGGCCCAGCCCTGCCTATCAAATCTAAGGACTTCGTTAGAATAAAAATGTTAGCTGAAGCCATTAGTGATGGCTTGCATGTATAATCCCAGAACTTGAGAAGCTGAGCCAGGAGGATTGCCACAACTTTGGGCTGCTTTGGGATACATATTGAGAGCCTGTCTCAAAAAAAAAAAATCAAAGTAAACAATTAATTAGATGTGGTGATTAGAAGCAGAACATGGTGGTGCGTGCCTGTAAGCTGAGGCAGGAGAATGAACATTTCCAGGCCAGCCTGGGCCACATGGTAAATTCCCAGTTAACCAGCTGGAGATATATAGGGTGATCTTGTCAAGAATGGGGCAGTCTGAGACGTAGGAGGTGGGCTTTAAAAGCAGCTCTTCATAATATGGAAGTGATGAGCATACATCTTTAAAATGAAAGAAAACCGGGAGGCATGATTGGTTCATGCCTGTATCCCCAGCGGTTGGGAGATGGGTGTGGGAGGACTGCCGTAAGTTCTGGGCCACCCAGGGCTATAAGCAAGACTATCTCAAAAGCAAAAACCAAAGTATGAGGTATGATGAGAAACTGCGCCCAGGTGTTGCTATAGCCGGGGGAATTTAGGAAGATGGGCAGATGCATGATGGCTGTGGTGAAGGGAAAGGCGAGGAGGGTAAGCCACGGGTGATCCATCCTCAGCCAGCCTTTCTCTCCTGTCTCCTCTGCAGCTGAATGATGGGCAGTTTACGGCCATCCAGCTGGTGGGCATGCTGCGGGGCATCGCCTCGGGCATGCGGTACCTGGCCGAAATGAGCTACGTCCATCGAGACCTGGCTGCTCGTAACATCCTGGTCAACAGCAACCTGGTCTGCAAGGTGTCCGACTTTGGCCTCTCCAGATTCTTGGAGGAGAACTCCTCTGATCCCACCTACACAAGCTCCCTGGTGAGCCTGGGGCCAGGGATAAGAGTTCACATGGGGAGGTGGGTTGGTTGGAGAAAGCACAGGCAGAACAGTATTGGCAGCTTTGCTCCTGGGGGAGGATACAGGTGCGGGCTGAAGGAGAACTAGCTTCTGATGTGTGAGGAAACAGCCGTGGAGATGGGAGCTTGGAGCCAGGAAAAAAACGAGACCATCTGGGATGACACCTGTCATTCCAACAACAAAGGAGGTTGAGAGAGGGATGTTGTGTGATGGTAGCTAGCCTGGGCTATCTAGGTGGATCTGCGCTAGAAAGAAAAGGAAACCAGATGCAGTGGTGTGTGCCTGTCACCCCACCACAGAGAAGGTGAAGGCTAGAGGATGGGAGAAGTTCATCTGTGGCTACAGAGGGAGCCAGGGAGCTGGAGGCGCGTAGGGCGGCACCTGACTGTTTCTAGAAAACATCACAAAACAAGATGAGAGAAGGACGAGTGTGGGGCTGGAAGTCAGGGAGAAATGCAGAGCTGGTGATGGTGGGGTGGAGGGGCAGGGGGCGTGTCTTCATTTCTTTCCCTATGGCTGTGATAGAATACCCCAACAAAGGTAACTTAAGATACGTTTATTTTGAGCTCACAGTACACGGTGACAAAGCCAAGGCAGCAGGAACTAGAAGCAGGTGGTTGGTCACATTGCACCACAGTCAAGAAACAGAACAATTAATGAATGCCTGTGCCCAACTCATTTTGTCCTCTTGATTCAGTGCAGGGGTCCAAGCCCAGGTATCCTCGTTTAAGATAACCCCTCTCAGGCACTGCCACCAGCTGGTCCTCTAAGAGTCTAGATTCTGTCAGGTTGACTGAAGTATCCCTCATGGATGATGTTCCTGGCTCCTGATGCTGCCTTGGGTTCACCTTTTCCGGTGGCTTCTTCCACAGGGAGGAAAGATTCCCATCCGATGGACCGCCCCTGAGGCCATTGCCTTCAGGAAATTCACTTCTGCCAGTGATGCCTGGAGCTATGGGATCGTCATGTGGGAGGTGATGTCTTTTGGAGAACGGCCTTACTGGGACATGAGCAACCAGGACGTAAGTGTTCCAAGATCATACCAAGACTCTCTGGGTATTCTGTCAGTACAGTCTATCGTGTATCCTGCTGGGTATTCTGTCAGGACAGTCTATTGTGTATCCTGGATACAGGAGTAGGGGATAGGGTTCCCAGACTCTTCCCCATCCGTGTGTGTGGGCATAGAGGGGTGATGTTTGCATCCAAGACTTGGCTGCAGGGACTACGGGGCAGATAACTCAGTGAGTACATTCCTTGCCATGCAAGGATGAGGGCCTCCATAGCCCCATTGCTGGGGGTGTCGGAGACAGACATATCCGGGGAACTTAACTGGCCCACCAGCATAGCCAGGCAGTCAGCTCCAGCTTCAGTGAGAGACATTGTCTCAAAAGCCAAGGTGGAGGGGCTGGGAAGCCAGACCCGTAGGTGACGTGCTTGTAATCCAAGGATGAGGCCTGGAATTCAGATCCCGAGCCCTCGGGTAAACCTCAGGGAGCTGCCGGAGCTTGTCTGTAATTCCAACACTTGGACGGTAGAGATAGGAGATCTGGATCAAGCTAGACTAGGACTCAGTAAGCTCTGGGTTCAAGAGAGAGACCCTGCCTCAGTGAAGAAGGTGGAGAGTGACTGATGAGAAGACACCTGATACTAACCTCTGACGCACGCATGCATGCACACAGGCGCGCATGCACGCGCACGCCCGCACACATACACACACACTCGTGCACACACGCGCACACACACACACAGCCATCCATGCGCATTACATGTGAAGGCAAAGGAAAGTGAAGAACTGGAGGGTAATTCAGTGGTCCTGATGGCTTGAGTTCAGTCCCCAGAATGGACACAGTGGAAGGAAAGAACTGATTGCTTCAAACAGTCCTCTACACAAGCTTCCGCAAGTAAACAGATACATGCAGTTTAAAAATAAGGTGGAGAGCGATGTAGGAAGATGCCCTCCATTGACTCCACATGCACGTGGACACATGAACACACAGGGAGTTGGATGTAGCCGTGTTGGAGTTGGGGATGGGTGGAGGGCAGGGTTGGGAGCTTACGCTCTAAACTGAAGCTCAAGAGCTTCAGGGGTGGGGTGGGGGAGTGTGGCCAGCCAAGGCAATTTCCGTCCTTCTGGGACTCAGGGGTCTATGTTTTGGGGTGCCCATGGTGCCTTTGATGAGTGGTTCTCTCAAGCTAGCTTCACCCAGTCTTCCTTGTCGCTGCAGGTGATCAATGCTATTGAACAGGACTACCGGTTGCCCCCTCCTCCAGACTGCCCCACCTCCCTCCACCAGCTCATGCTGGACTGTTGGCAGAAGGACCGGAATGCCCGGCCCCGCTTCCCTCAAGTGGTCAGCGCTCTGGACAAGATGATCCGGAATCCCGCTAGCCTCAAAATCGTGGCCAGGGAGAATGGCGGGTAAGGATCCGAAAGAACAACCCAAGAGCCCTTCTAAGTGACCCTGGAGTATCCGTCCCTTTGACTGTATATGGGTTGGTCCGTGTTGATCTTCCCAAAGCCCTCTGATACAATAGCTGTCTGACTTAGCATTTCTCTCTATCTTTATCCTCCACACCTCTCAGGGCCTCACATCCACTCTTGGACCAACGGCAGCCTCACTACTCTGCTTTTGGGTCTGTGGGCGAGTGGCTTCGAGCCATCAAGATGGGAAGATACGAAGAAAGTTTTGCAGCGGCTGGATTCGGCTCCTTTGAGGTGGTCAGCCAGATCTCTGCAGAGTAAGTGCAAGGGACCACAGTGCGGGCACAGAACTTAGACAGTGCCTGGGAACGTCAGGTATAGGAGGCTGAGTCAGACCCTCAGGTTCAGTAGGGGTCTCTGAGTTCATCTTCAAGGGCTGTTATATTGGTGGCCCAACGCTATGCTCAGAGCTGCCCACCAAACAAATCATGACTGAGGCTAAGCCCCTGGATCTTCCCAGACCAGCAGCGGCCTGCTCGTGTTTGTTCTGGAGCCTCCTTGAGCCTGGGTCATCTCCCTTCCCTTTCCAGCCTGTATCTGTCTTTGCTTCTATCTACATTCCAAACGAGGCTCTCTCGGTAATGTGTCAACTCTGGCTCTCTTTTCCCACCCATAAAAGGAGAGGACAGGGCTGAGATTTGGATATCCCTTCCCAGCTTTGATGTTAAATGGTTTTATGATTCTATCAACTCCCAAATAACTGTTCTCTTGCCTGTCTGTACTTGGTGTGCCTCCTTCCTCCCTTCTCTGGTTCTCTCCCAAGGCCTTTGCTTACCCCAGCTTTGGATATGGGGGGAGGGGGAGGGAAGGCACAGACTTACGTCAGGAGGACGTAACTGTGTTAGTACACCACTGTGCTCCCAGCTCCTGGGAGGCTAAGGCAGGAGTTTTCAATTGAGGATAGCATGGGATACATATCAATACTTTATCTCAAATTACCAGTTAGTCTCTGCAGTTTCTTTCCCCTAAGTTTTCTTTGAGGACTTTCTCTTTCCTTCCTCTACTGAGGCTGCTCAGTAAAGGTTTAGTGATTACTCTTGACATCCTCTCCTATGGGCTTCCTGATTGACTGGTCCCTGGACTCATCCAGCCTTCTATTTTTCCACAGGGACCTTCTCCGAATTGGAGTCACTCTGGCAGGACACCAGAAAAAAATCTTAGCCAGTGTGCAGCATATGAAGTCCCAAGTTAAGCCAGGAGCCCCTGGTGGGACAGGAGGACCAGCCCAGCAGTTCTGACCTCCAAGGACTCACCGCCCCGGGGCTGTGGCCAAGTCTTCTTTCCAGGGGCAGAGTTGGGTGGGGACTCACACGATGAGCCCGTCTCCCTCACCACAGCTTCCCACTGGATTGCACTTTGAACAGAGGAGGTCGGAGCTGTTAATCCTGGAGACCCAGGATTTGGGGAACTGTGCCATATGGAGTGAGAAGAATCACACGTGTGCCTTGGCGGGGAACCCCAAACTCAAGAGTGAATCTTTTCCTCAAGACTGGGCAAAGAAACATCCCTACATCTCTAATCTCCCATCTTCCCAGAGGGCTCTCTCCCCAAGCGCCTTCTACCTTAACGGGCATGTCCCTGCAGACCAAAGAGAAAGGGTGACCAGCCTGCCAACTTGGGAGTGGAAAATGCCATCCCAGGAGGCAGGAAGGGTCTGTCAGGACCCGGTGATGTAATCATTGGATTTTGATGTCCCAACTTGCTGTCACCACCAAAGGCAATCATTTTTCCCTTGTAAATGCCCCTCCCCTCATCGGCCTTCATATTGAAGGTTCTGAAGTTTTACTATTTTTTATTTGGTTATTTTTTTCCCTCCTTTTCCCCCCCTCCTTGTCCAGATTTTGTGCATTGAAGGGTACCTGGTTCCACTATCTCCTGTTGGGAATAAGGACCCATTGGTGTATGTTCTAGAAACAGTGCTTTCGACAGTTCTTCCTCCTTCCCTCCCCCCAAGTGCCCCCAAGCTGTGTTGTGAGTGGAGGGGAGGGGCTGATGTTGTAAAAGGGACAGGAGGGTGGTGGCAGTCAAGAGGCAGACAACAGTGCTTGGAAGGGGGTTCTTAAATTATATTTAAAAAGAAACTTTTTTTGTATAAATAAAAGAAAATGGGATATGTCTCAGTCCTGAGGGTGACTGGGAGCTGGGATAGACCAGATTTCTGAGAATAGGGGACCTCTAGAGGTCTGGATTTGAAGAGTCAGGTCAGGTGGTGGGATTACGGTGTGAGGAGGTGCTGGGTGTTGGTTCCCAGCCCCAAGGTGTTTTGTTTGGGTTGGTGGGAGGTGAGTCACTGGCAGCTGGTGCTAACTGCTCCAGCTGCCCCTGCCAAGAGCCTCAGGCACCTCCGGGGTGGGGCTGCCACCTCCTGCCCCTCCTCTGTCTCCTCAGCTCTGGCAGGGGGCTGTGTGAGGGAAGCCAAGCTTGTAGCCCATAGCCCCACCCTAGAACTACTTTAAAAGGATGAAGGGGCACAGGTGACAGTGGGGGGTCCAGTTAGGTGTCCACAGACTTGGGCTGGATGTCCATAGCTCAGGTTGGTTTCATGGTAATGGGAGAGCCAGCATGGGCTGTGGTGGAAGGTGGGGAGTGGTTGAAAGGGGGGCCCTCACATGTGTGTACATATGCCAGGGAGCACTCAGGACAATTCCCCCATTCAAGATGCTGCCCAGGCAGGTTTTCCTGGCCTCCTGGGAAGGGGAGGGGGAGCTGCTCGAATGTGTCTGCTACTAACTTTTCCCTCCAGAGAGGAAAAGGAGGATGGGATCCATACCCCATTCCAGCCTCTCCACTTCCCCACTGTGGTGTTTTCTCAGCCCCCTCTGCTCCTGGGTATGCCTTCCCATCGAAACACCTGCAAGGGCAGGTCAGTGCAGGCTAGCCTGATGGAGCTGCAGCCTTTCTGAAGCAGCACCGTTGATGTGGAGGGAGAGCAGAACCTCATAGCAGTGTCCCAAGGCAATGTTCCTGTCATTTCCCTGTGTGTGCTTGTGCATGCATGGGTGGGGCTGTGTGTTGGGAGGAGGGGTATGTCCATGTGAACCTAGGTTCCCACAGACGCTAGAAGAGTATGTGAGATCCCCTGGAGCTGGAGTTTTAAGCTGTCATGAGCTGTCTGACATGAGTGTTGGGAACAAAACTCTGGTCCTCCATAAGAGCAACAAGTGCCACCGAGCCGTCTCTCCAGTTCCACACGTGTGCGTGCACATGCGCGTGCACAGAGTGAGACAGACTGAGACTCTGCAGGTTCTCTCATTGCCCTGCAACTGGCCAAGTGGGCTAGCCTAGTCAGCCAGCACGGACTAGGAATTCTGTTCTTCCCTCCACAGTTCTAGAAAAGTAAGCCCATAGCACCACTCCCATTGGCCCCTGCTCCACTGCAAACAGAACCCTAATGCTAGAGCTTACTTGCTGACTGAACTAGCCTCCAGAACCCCCTACCCCTTCCTGTCTTTTGTAAACCAGGGCTTGCTATATAGCTCAGGCCAGCCTGGAACTTTACTATCCTCCTGCCTCAGCCTCTGGAATGCTGGGATTATGGTATGAATCACACTAAATCCTTTGTCTCCTCTCCCTGGGTGACATTTAATATCTCTGGAGAGTGGGAGAGGCTCACTATTACCAGGAAGGGGAGTGTCCCAGGGGACACTAATCCAGCCAACTGCCTTTTGCTGCCAAGCAGACATCCTGGCTAGATAGAGTGACCTTCGGAGAGCTGCTATGGGGAAGAACAAAGATGAAGGCCAAGGCATCCGAGCAGTACAAAGATGGGGAGGCCAGGTGGAGAGACTGGGCTCCAGGCAGGAGGCTAACCTGCAAAGGGACACTGTGCCTTCCTGTGGAAGGAGATTACACTTTCCTAGTGAGGGAAATCAGGCCCGTGTAGGACAGGTCCCACTCCTGTCCTGGGCCCTTTCCATACTCATACTGGGTATATCTGGCTTCTGGAAAGGTCTCCAAAGATATGGTTGTCACACAGACAGGTTAATAATATCTCCCTGGGCCTCTGATCTCCCTGTCTCAACACACTCAGACCAAGTCTGTTTCTTGAGGTCCTTACGGTCTAATCCATGCCTGGTTGTCTTCATTCCAATCGTAATTTCTCCTTCATTACCCCAAGCAAGGAGTAACCCAGGAGACACAGACTGTCAAGAGTGTAGATTGTAGATTCTACACCTTGGCCTCCTTTGGCTAAACCAGGGGTTACTTCTACCTTGTCAGAATGGCTCCCAAAGCCTTTAACTCCACCCACAGTTCCTATAGTAACCTCCTGAAGGGCTCTTTAGGGAAGAATGAAGAGTAAGGGATACCCTCTGGGAAAATCCCAACCGGAAACACGAAGCCCAGAATGCCCTTGCTTCCCCCTAGTGGAGGAGCTCATAGCTAAGTCCTCTCAGAGCTCAGTGAGCGTCAGACCAGCAAGGCTTACGTAGCAAGCTTGAGACCACACATAACCTGAACTTGGTCCCTAAGCCCTGCGTGGTAAAAGGAGAACTGGCTCCCGCTTGCTGTCTATCTTCTGACCTCTACCTGTATATGTGAGCATTAGTAAAGATAAAAACAATAAAACCCACCGGGGTGATGGTGAGATGGCTCTGTTGGTAAAGTGCTTGTCACATAAATGCGGACCTGGGTTTGTCCCCAGAAGCCATGTAAATGGCAGATGTAGTGATGCACACCGTAAAGACAGTGGGGCAGCTACAGAAGGGAAGTGGATCCGTGGGAACTGGCTGGCTGGGTGCCTAACTCCGTGTCAAAGTCTAATGAGAGACTCTCTCAAACAAAAGGCAGAAGGGGCCTGGCTGTCCTCTGACCACTCCATCACGAGTGTGCACAGAGAAGCGTGTGCCTGCGGAACGATAGTTCTTCCTAGTGGGCACATCCTGTCTTGGAGAGCCGCTTGCTCAGGATCTTGAGCAGAAGAGATGGCTCCATGGGTAAGAGCACTCCTGCTCTCCCAGAGGACCTGAGTTTGGTTCCCAGCACCCACATCAGCTGGCTGACAACTGCCAGTGACTCCAGTTCCAGGGAATTCAGTATTCCCTTCTGGCTTCTATGCCCATGTGCACATACATAGCAGACACTCCTTTTATATACATACACATAAAATAAGTGAAACAAAGTTATGACTCAGAATGCCCTAAAGGGAAGCTCCCTAAGGCCCAGGAAGTAAATGATTCTGTCTTAAAACTGACAGAATGCCCTGGCTCCTTCCCTGAACAGCAAGGACTGCCGAGAAACGCTCTCAGACAGGCAAAGCTGCCCGGAAGACCCTCTAACCCACCAAGCTGCCTGCAGGCTGTGCGGTGAGACCAGGGCCCCAGCTTTTAGGGACCATCACAGCTACCTTTGGGCCATTTCTGCTGCTGTAGGTAGCCGTTCACCTATATTCCTGCAAGTGATCCCAGCAAACTCATCAGCTCAGCACTCTGGACTGCAGGGGTGTCACTACTCTGGTTCATCATTGGTTCCCTGTCTGCGGGGAGCATGTTTGTTCATGACTTTGCAGGAACGGTGTCACATCTGTACACACATGTACACACATGAACACATATGTATGTATTTTAAAATGGGGGTTCTTGGAGTAAAGGCGATGTCAAAGGAGCTAGAGAAGTGGCTCAGGTGTGGAATGTCTGCCTGGCATGCACAGAACCCTGGGAGGGATCTGCCCCAGCATCAATGGTACAGAGATGTAAACCTGTAATTTCAACAGGCAGAGGCAGGAGGATCAGGAGTTCAGAGCCATTCTCAGCGACATAATAACTTGTCTTTAAAACAAAACAAAAAAAAAGACGTTCACAGGAAGAGTCTTTCCTCCTGACATGAGACGTCTAGGGCTATAGCTCATTCTTCCTTCCAGAACTTTCCCTGCCTGCCTCTTGTCTTCCATTGCTGGTGCCCTACCAGGGCTGAACAGGCCATCTGACTGTGACTTTCAATGAGTGACATTCTCCTTCCTGAGACCTGAGGTTCTCTCCCCGGGGACATTCCCTGCACAGCACTCAGCCGTTGGGGATCCACACACACCTGACTCCCTTTCCTATTTCTCTTCAGCTCCCAGACTGGCTGCCTCCACCACAATCAGGGAGAAATTCATATCTAAAAACATTAAGCCTGGGCCTACTGAGGTATCTCAGATATCTCGGTGAAGAAGGCGCCTGCTGTGAAGCCTAAGGACCTGAGTTCGATCCCCATGTCCCACAAAGTAAAGGAAGTGACTCACACAAATTGTCTTCTCACCTCTGGACATGCGCACGCCCGTCCCCCCACAATAACAGTCATAGAGCAAAAGTACTTAAAAAAATAAAATATTTTTTCTCTGTTTGAGGACAACTCAGAACTCAGTGGCTTTGAAGGTAGGCTCTGGAACATCTGAGGAGAAAGCAAGAACACTCACGTTGCAGGAGGACTCAACTCTTGGCTAGGACACACACATGCCCAGGGCTGGTTCTCACCTGTGTCCTCCAGCCTAAGTGTGCTTCCTCTCAACAGTTTCTCCCTAGAGGGAGTAGGGAACAGATGGGGAGCAAGGCTTTTGTGTGTGTTAGGCCCCACCCATCGACTCCCCCGCCCCCAGACCGGGACTTACCCCCTCCTCCTCCTCCTCGCCACTCTGGGCAGTAAGACAGGGACTAACACCATCACAAGCACTCCTGGCAGGATGGCCACTAAACTGGATGCTTCTGAAAGGAAACAGCAACGGCCTTGGGGCGTTGGCTCAGTGGGTAAAGTTATCTTACAAGCACAGCTCCCACAGCCAGCTGTGGAAATGCATGCCTGTGGTCCCAGCAAGAGCAAGATGTGAGGTGAAGACTGTGTGTGTGTGTGTGTGTGTGTGTGTGTGTGTGTGTGTGTGTGTGTGCGCGCGCGCACGCGCGTGTGTTTATAAGCATGTTCCTGTGGAGGTCAGAGGATAGCCTGCAGGAGTTCTGTGGGGACCTGGGATCAAATTCAGGTCATCAGGCTTGGAGATAACCACCTTTACCCCCTGAGCCAGCTTGTCAGGCCCAAGAGCCCGTGTCTTAAATAAGACATCTCAGCACCCACACCCAAGGCTGTCCTCTGTCCTCTACATGCATACGGTGCCTGTGCATACTCCCCCCTCCCCCCATGCTCAAC